TTGTAAATAGTTTTTCATTGCTCAGCGTAAATGGCTTTTCATTAAAAATTATCCGGCGATGCATCTTGAAAATGGTTGGCAACGCTTTGGGCTTAAAAACCCATATATTGGCGACGCTGCATCCACCCTCTGCACCCTGGCCGCACTTATGTTTTGGTTGCATCTAGTTTGATTTCACAATAAATAGATTTGATTCACATTCCATTCTGAGATTTAAATGATTGAAAGTTTTTTTAAATTATAAAAACCCATTTATACATTCCAGATTAGATTTTTTTTCATTTTTTGCCCTATTATGTTGAATTTATCTTAATAAATTCACTTCAAATTCTGAGTGATTTTGTCTGCCATCCCACATTTTCAAACGTTTTGTGTCTTTTAGAAAATTTTCGTTATTTAACATGGGAAACTATTTCATTATATAAAACATAGAGCATGTACCGGTAGTGCATTAATAATACAATTTAATTCAATAAAAATTAATTTTTAATTCAAAAATATAATCAGATTTTTAATTCAACATTTTTCTAATAGAATTTAATTCTACAGCATGTACCATCAAGTGTATTAAATAATAAAATTTTATTTAGTAAAATTTAATTTTATTTAATTTTTTAATTTAATTTATTTCTACAGCTTCAACTGGTAAAAATGAGCATCATAGGAATCAACCTGTCGTTCATACATCACAAATTGAGTGACATGGATGGATTTGATAGGTATTTTATTAATCCTGTTTATATATAAGAATGGAAATGATGCTTCTATTTCAGAATGATAATGGAAATGTTCCTACTATTTCAGAAACTTTTCTTGAATACACTTCTGAAAACTAAAGTTCTGTAATCAATGGAGTCTTTGAAATGACAAAATCGTTAAATTTTTAGCTATAAGAGTAAGATCGTCATTTGTCAATATGATCAGCATTCATTCGTCATTCGTGAGGAGCTATAAGAAAAAATTCGTTGTTTTGACATAAAAGAATGTTTTTCAATTGAAAGAAATGCAATACTTGATTTGTGGAAATACGATGTTAAAATGAACAATCCGTATTAGAATTCAATAGACGTTACGATTTCAGAATTATCTTCAAAAAGTTTGTTTTCGTTCATTTGATCAGAAGTTTTCGTTCATTTGATCAGAAGTTTTCGTTTGTTTGATCAGAAGTTTTTGTTTGTTTGATCAGAAGTTTTCATTCGTTTGATTAGAAACAGAAAAAGTTTTTGTTCGTTTATCAGAAACAACATAGTTATTCATTCTATTGCACTACATATACGAATAATTAGTTGGACTCAGTTACCGTCCACATTGATCATCCCGCTAGATTATGCACCGGGAGCAGGAAAGAAGCTAGGTACCTATTTAATTCAGTAGCATGTTAGCCGACGTGATATGTAGTTCTGCTCATCTGAATTCTGAATTGCGTGTTTAGTGTGCATGATGGAAAACTCCTCTTTGCAGCGTAGTTATAATTACTTAATGAAGTTTAGTTTGTTGCAGTCAACTTAAGAGACAAATTTTCAACTAATACTTTTTATAAGTCTAATTTTAATTGTTGAGTGAAAGGTGCAGGCTTACAACTTCCAAGTGATTAGGTACTTCATAGAAACTGAGCAAGTTAGTGTACGTGTTTTAAGCCTTTAAGAAGTTCATTTTTTGCCTCAAATAACGATGTTGGGTAGAAAAAGTGGTCTTGGTGAATTGAAATAATATATGAACCTTCGAAATTAGAATTCCATCCTGCAGTGTGTTGGAATATGACACGACATCCTGTGTGTTGTAATTCTGACACCCTGTGTTGGAATTAATTTTTATGTGTCTAAAACCGTCTCTTAAATCAATCATTTATTAATTTATTTACCACTTAAATCAGCAAATACAAGTATACTTAAAGGATTCCTAATATATTTACAGACTTGTTTAAAAGTCTCAAACCCTAATATTCTTTCTACACAAACAGTTTATCACTATTTAGGGTAAACGCACCATATTCCGACTGTGGGTAATTCTGACACCCCTCAATTTTTTCCTTTATATTAAGCTTGTTCTTAGTTCCACGCCTTCATAGATAGATTTTCAACTATCATACGTGTTTTGATGTTTCTCACTAGCTGACTTGGACCTTTGCTCTGCGGATCTTAACATTTTCCACTAGACCTAGTGTTTTGCGAAAATCTTGTGCGCAATAGTATGACGTCATTGTTTCAACCATCTACGCATGCATGGAAGTAAGACCAAGTAAATATAAATGAAAAAGTTGAAAGGTGTTGGAATTACCCACAGTGTCGGAATATGGTACGTTTACCCTATGTGTCGGGATCATCAAAAATCCATTTCAATTTTCAAATGTTTCTGCATCAAAACCAAAGACTAATTCATCAAATTGATTATAAATTTCTTGGTTTCTCAGTATTCTGAGCAGTTTAATATATTTCACAGTTTTCTTGCATTAACTAAGAGAAACGCAAATGTTCGGTTGCATCTGAACAATCCTTTAAAATGTTAGAGAAAATTCCACGTTAATCAATCTAAATCAGTTAAAATTTAAATATTTTTAATAGTCTATAATACATTCAAATTTTTCAAATAGTTATCCAAATTTTACTCAAAAATTTGGCAAATAGTTGAAACATCTATTCCTGGAAATAAATTGTTCAATTTGGTAGTATAATCAATTTCATATTTACTTCTAGCAAAATTATTGTTAGATACCATACTATTACTTTTTATGTTTATTGATAGATTATTTCATCCATGATGGACCAAAAATAGGTATATATATTATATATGTAGTGAATCGAGGTGATGCAAGAGTTAAGTACACATTACTGATTGGAGTTAAATCATCTTGCACTGCAATGTACATGCATTGGAGCTGGTATTAATGCGCAATGCATGGGTCACATATCTCTATGAAAACATTAAACTTATTAATATGGCATTATGGCAAGTCAGGGAAGGTAGTTCAAGTGTGTTACCATACAGAATAGTGTTAGGAAGAGAGCTGTGCGCAATGTGGCTAACAAACCTCTGGTGAATCAAGTGAATGCTTGAATCGACACATTTTAAATGTGCGCAAAAGCAATGGCATCAGTTGTAGCCTTGTAGTGATACCGTCAACTGGGGCGACTCGGGACGGGTGGGGTAACTCGGGACAGTCCTCCGACATGGCGTAAAACTGTTTTAGTAGCAAAACTAATTGGAATATTGCAAAACTAAATATAGTGGCATAAATGTCAACATTTTCCTATCTATGTAGTATAAAGGAAGTTCAAAAATACTACATTTACTAGCTTTGAAAAATTCCTGAAAAAATGGTGAAAAACGATATTTTGAAAAGTTACTTCTGCTAAGGTCTGTAGTAAAAAAAATATTTGCCATATTAAAAAATTTCACTTACAAAAAAGTGGCAGACAAGTGTCAGCATGAAAACTTTATTTGTGGAATTTACATACCTCAATCCAAAAAAAAAAATGGCGGCCATTTCCGCACGGTGGGGCTACTCGGGACACCCCCTAGTGCTATTCGGGACACTCCCAGGGCTATTCGGGACACCCCCAAAAACACGTTTACAGTAGAACCTCAGTTAGCAAAGGCTCCAGTTAAGAAAAAAATTGATTCAAAATAAAGAATATTGATTACATTTACCTTGCTCAGCGAAAAAATTTCACTTATCGAAAAATTAGTGCGTCATCGGTCATCACAAAATTGTACATAGAATGTCATATAGTATAGAATTGTGCACCAGGCATCATAGAATGAAAAGTAATTGACATAAACTATGATTTATTTCTCCAAAACATATGATGGTTGTCAATAAAACATTCCTTTCTGTTTCAGGTATGTTTTTCATGATCTTTTTTTTGTAGTAAATCCACTTAACCCAATTAAAATGGTGTGAAATTACAAGCCATCTTGTAAGCTTACAGAATACAGATACAGAAAAAATGCTATAAGGCTGCTGATATGAAGCTTGCAGTGGACAAGGTTGTTGTAAATGCTCAATGGCATGTTCATGGTTACGGTAATATCGCATCAATAATAGGGTAATTAATTTTTTTTTTTTAATTAATGATAATGGGGTAATTAATGTATATGGTAATATCATATCAATAAAGGTAAAAAAGTAAAAATCACAGAAAATGTATTTTATTCTGCCTCTACATCATCTACAATGAAAGAAGAGGACTTCAGATTACTGTTAGTAATGGATGAGTACACTCTGCATGCTTCAAATGTTTTAAAATGAAGTTTTATTGCAAGTGTCCCGAGTAGCCCCATTAGACGGGTCTACTCGGGACACTCTTTTTTTTGCTTCTGGCACCTTATGAATAGCATATGAAATTTTTTTGGAAAAGCCATGTGATAGCCCTTGCAAAGAGCTTTGAAATGAGCCTAAACTTGTTTATGAAATGTTTCATGGTAAGAAGTTATGAATGAAAAGCATTCGAAATCGTTCCAAGTAGCCCCGGTTGACGGTATTATTATTTTTGAAATTCAAAACCATAAAATCAATTTGATGCATTCTTAACTTTTATTTATAACCCACTTTTCACTTTACATTTCTTTTATAAATAGTCAAGGAAGGTAAAAAGTCCAGCCTGGGTGGGCAGGTGCCCAGTGCACTACTATTACTGGCAATGTTTGCTAATTGCAGATACTACATTGCATCCATTACACATGGCTGGAATTTATTGATTGGAAAAACCTCTACCTGGAAATAGCACAGCCTGAAATTAAAGCAAATTTATTTGTTTAATTAGACAAATGCTTCAAATGCAAATAGTAATTGCCCTTATGAAACGCAACAGATCTGTATTGCTAGATGCTAAAGTTTAAAAAAAAATTAGAGAAGAGCTATAAAAATAAGCAAAATTAACTGCTCTCATGCCATGATATTCCAAATCCTTGATCTCTACTTGATTTATTGGCATCCAAGTATTTCTTGAAATTGGTTCATGCTAATATATTATAGAAATTTATTACATGCATTTTTATAATTGGTAATGATGCTGCTCTGTACAGGGCCGTCGTCACATCTCTGAGGTGAAGAGGACCAACATTGCACGCAGTCAGTCCAAAGCCAAGAACAAGCTATTGAAGAGAAGAAAAAGTCGTCTGCTGAAACGTTATGGCAAAGAGAAGGCAGACAATGAAGACCGGCCACCCATCACGTACTACGACCACAAGCGACTCAAGGAAAAGAAGAAACTTGAGGGCATCCAAGCGGCCATGGCCAGGAAGGAAGACCTAAAGAAGAAAGAGGAAGAAAAAATTGCCAAACGCAATAAGAGATTTGACCAATTCTATCAAAGTGGGTCCTTTGTATATGCATATTTTTTACTAATTTATGTCAAGGTTTTCTCCTGTATTCTTATTTTATCCCAACACTTTCCTAATGAACAAAGAACTAGTTAATATTTGCTGTAGTTATTGTGCATAGTTACTGTAGTTATTCTGCAAGCAGCTTCATTGTGATCTTATATTATATGTCAGACAGCCTATTGATGCCATAAAATTGATTTAATTTCTGTTACACATTTCACTTGATATTCTATGAGGACTTCTAGAATACTCAAAATTTCTTGGTTGAAGAATAATAGTTGAAATGTATCTAGTCATCTTGTTTGTCTTTTTATCTACTAATATATGTTTGTAATGTATTAATATTTAAATCATTTTTGGCCAGCTGTCACTCATCTTTGTATCATTATTAAAGAGAGTCACCTTTAAGTTATGTTTTGCTATTGAAATGCAGTTACCTCAATGTGGAGTTACCAGTCATGTAGATGCATGCATTTTTTCTGGTCCATTCATTGTAGAATTCATGTGGTAACATTTGGTCAGGGCAAGACACGGGAGCTGAGATCCTAGACTCGGCCGCTCTGGCCAGCATGATTGACCAGGAGGACTATGAGTGTATGCAGAACCAAGGCATGGACGGGTGAGTTATGCATTGTTCTGCTTCACTACATTGCAAGAATATGTGCTTCCCTATAAGCCAAACCTAGACTTAGCTCTGTATTATACTAGACGAAGGTTCATTGATAAGTTGAATAGGTATAAATCTAAGAAGCAAGACTATAGGAAAGAGTTCATGTAATAAAAATTAATATCAATGTATTTACCCAAAAGTTTTTTTTTAAGACAATAATGTTTTTATTATCTTCCTTTGAAAGTGGAGACAATATGAAAGTGTAGATTGTATAACCAGCTGCTATGCTAATTTTCATCAGTTAATGAGATGGTGTTAAACCATTCAAATTAATGGAAGATTTCCATCATAATTAGTCATCGCACTTGAATTCTCCATTTAAAATTTTAGAATAAAGAATTTTTCTAATTTTTACTTCTCCTAATTTTTCTCCAATCAAGTCAATGAGGACAATTGTGTGTGCAGTTTAACCAGCAAAATATCTAATGTAGAATGAAGTTGTTGTTTGTTGCAATGTATTTGTCAACTATTTTGTTTCAAAATATGATCGTTTGCAGCAGCATACATGCATATTTCCTTGTTAATATTGTGTCAATGTGTGTGTTTGCCACAGAACTGCGGACATAGAGCAGATGCGCAGCGACCTGGTGGAGAAGGCACAGAAGCTGCTGGGCTGCACCGCCACCACTGAAGGCGGTGATGAGGAGGAGGAAGAACCTGATCAGGACAAGTCAGTTGTCTTATATTTATATATGGGTTGTGTTGTTATGGGAAGCCCATTTCAGTGATATTGCAAGGAAGTAGGATTTTCCTACTAGGGTCCTGCAAACCCTCCTCTCCTGAGATGCAATGTAATGTGAAATTAAAGTACGAAATTTAAGCAAAAGTATGTATCAATTTCAGTGTTGACATCATAGTAGAGTGCTCACTATTTGATGTGCATCACTAACTTAATCATGTTAAAGTTAATGTAACGGATATTTTTTATGGATTTAGTGCACTGCTTAGGTTTATCATGTTAATCTGTTTTTGCTTTTCAGACTGGGTAAAGCAGGCAAACTTGAAAATACCCTTATACGAGGTTATAGACCCCCGTGCCTCGGTTTTGCACTTATTCTTTTTCTTCTCTGTTTAATGTACATACCTGGTTCTTCTTGTTGTGTTGTTCAATAAATTGTTAAATAAACACAAGGAAAAGTCTAATAAAAAAGTGGTTTGGGATGGTTGTAGGGGAGGTGGAGTCCATCACCAATTCCTTGTTTGCTTGACACCCTTGCAACAAACACCCTCAGGCCCAAAAACGTGGCTGGTAGCACGATAAATAGAGTCCTACTACAGTGTTAATTACGGCACCATATTTCATGCAGGCAATGTAAAATTTTGATAATTTTTTCACTTCAACAGTGTGAGCTGCTTCATAATTTTTGTGTTATTCAGCAAAAAAAATTTAACATTTGCTACCCAACTGAATAAAATGTAGCCTCGTTTCTCTTATCATATTTTGCGTCTTGGATCAATCACTCCAAAGATTTAGAGTAAATAATATTGCGCAGATTGTAAAATCTGTTCAGCTATATAAACTATCATTTTTTTCGGAAATTAACATTTATTTTTGTCATTGAAGTGCTCAGTTGCTTGGCAAAATTACTAAGTGATCATCATACTGACACTTTTCCTTCTTCTTGAAAAAAGTCAGCAATGCATCTTGGCGTTACCTATTTTTTTAATGACTTGTTGGCCTTCAAATCATACGTTAAAGCATCAATGACTAGTGAAATGTATGGAACCATTCGTTGTTATAAGGCTTTGTTATGACAGGTCCGACGAGGATGAGGAACTTCAGGAGGTTTTCGCAGCTCCCAAGCCTTCAATGCTGCCCATCAAGATAGGCGATCAGGTCATCATGCCCAAGCCCGAGGGTCAAGAAGGTGGGAATTTATTGCTGTAAAACTATTAGGTTCATCCATGGTTACTTATCTGGTTTACTTCTTGTCTTTATGACATTATGAAGAGTTCGGGACTTCCTAGTCCCCGGCCACGCTGGTGCGCTGCCTTCATCGTCCTCCGTCTCCGAGTCGTCGCTAGGCAGGTCACCCCGCCCTCGGGCCTCGGATGTAACGTTGGACGTGTTCTGTCTATTTGCCCTCCTTTGGGCCAGCTGATGCAAGATGCTGTTGCTTTTCATTCATATTTGCTGGCTCATCCAGTAGGTATTTTGGTGATGCTTTTGCTTGTATACTAACTATTCTGTGAGTAAATTTTAAGACCGCAGTTTATGGAAAGACTGCGGACAAGTTGAAAGTTTAAATAAATATATGCATGATATTTATTCCTTAATATCAACCTCATTGCTTTCAAGAAGATTTATGCTAATTTTCAGGAAAAGCTTCTGGTGCATGTGAAATTATCTAGGATTTGAAACAAGTGATGATTAACATTTTCAATTGATATTAATTTCAATTAACTCGGTGACAGCAGAGTCCAGGTCCACCATCGTGATATCGACCTAAAATTACAGTTATTTGGTATTCTATAAACTTATAATTATTCAGGAGCTAAAACTGCTACTGCGTTCTTAATTTTTTTTTGTACAGCAGAAGATGGAGGAGACAGCGGCATAGAGCAAGACTCCCAGCAGGAGGAGCCCTTAAAGCCCATCTCTGTTGTGGACATCCTGGCGCAGAGACGAGCTAAGATCCATGAGAAGAAGATCTTCATAGCCTGCGCCTCCACCAAGATCATCTCCAACCCATACAAATATGTGCGTTGCTTTGCAAATAACTGCTTTAGGTTACAAATCCGTGCATTAGGTTAAATGTACGTGCGTTGTGTGTGTGTGTTAGGTTACATGTACGTGCGTTGCGTGTGTGTGTGTTAGGTTACATGTACGTGCATTGTGTGTGTGTTAGGTTACTAATACCTGCGTTGTGAGTGCGTTAGGTTAAAAAATTTGTGAATTGTATGCGCGTTAGGTTACAATGGCTTTTTGCAATTGTAACCTAACCTGTGGCTACTGAACCTATAGGTTAGATTACTAATTTGTATTATAACCTATAATTGTAACCCTCCTCCTGTAGATGTCGTCACTAACAAGCTTGGTGGCCCTGCTGTATGAGAAGGACCCCGACACAGCGCTGACGGTGCGCAAGATGGCGGCGCTATCGCTGGTGGTCATATTCCATTCCATCATCCCCAACTACAAGCTCAACACCATGGAGCGTCCTGGCGTCAAGTGTGAGCACCACAGCCTGTTGTTTAATGTATTTCATTCGCTGCATTATCATTGACTTTATTCGCCATGTGCAGTGATATCATCGATGCTGCAAGCACGGAATCGTAGTTTTGAATTCACAAGACCAAACTAATGACCATTGAACATGTATTTTCATTGCATTTGTTCACAGTTTATATTAGTTCTAGAACGGAACTCTAAACCACTATTCTTTACGATCTCTCTTGTGCCACTAGTGTTTTAATTCAGTAATCTTGCTGGTGTGCAGTGAAGAGAGAAACGCGCGCCCTCTCTGTTCAGGAGAACTTGCTGCTGGTACGTTATAAGTATTTCCTGCGTGGCCTGGAGGCCATGGTGCGCAACGCCAAGTACCACAAATACGCACCAGCGCACCTCAAGCTGGCCCGCACTAGCCTTGAATGTTTCTGCGAGCTGCTGGTCAAACATCCAACATTCAACTTTTCTGAGAACATCATCATCCTTTTGGTGCCATACCTCGCCCACCTCAAGGACGAGCTCAGATTGGTCGTGAAGAAGGCGTTCGAAACCATGTTTTATGAAGACCAAACCGGCCAACTGTCCCTCAGGGTGAGCGTTAATACAACAGCAGCTAGCTGTGGCAAATGGTGATTTTTTTAGACATCAGGGGCTAGCTATCCTAAGGGTGAGTTTTATGAAGACGTCAGCGGCCAACTGTCCGGTTTAAGTCAATAATTAAAGCTGATAAAGCACTTAAAGGGCTTCAGCTTAAGCTTATTATTTAGAAGAGCGTGCATAACACAAATAATTTGTTGTTATTTTACAGCTGATAAAGCACATCGCACAGTACGTGCGCAAGGAGGAGTTCAAGGTGCACAGCGACATGCTGCGCGTGCTGCTGCAGTTGCGTGTCACGCAGGCGACGCCGCTAGATGTGCTGCTGGAGAAGCGGGTCGACACGGCCAGACAGTCCGAGATAATAAAGCAGAACTTGAAAAAAGTCGCGTCTAGACACGTGGTCAAACTCACCATACCAGAGAAGAAGGTGAGTGATGTTGTGGAGAGCTCTTCATTTGCGAGGTCATTTTCGAAGTCCTGGTCTTAAATTACCTTGAAGTAATAATTTTCTGCCGTTACTTGTATTTAGGGTTTATCAAGTCTGAACGTTTTCATCAGTTTTTGCATGGGTCATATAAAGTATCTAATGTAGGTATGAGTCTTTTGAATAATGGTTTCAAAATGTATTCAATTTTTTCAGCGTCAAAAGAAAATTGCGAAGCTGGAGCACAAGCTGAAAGCGACAAAGCTGGAGCAGAACAAAGCGAAACACGAGACGCTGCAGACGGAGATCCTGCACATCCTCTTCGGGCTTCTGGTGCACGTCATCAAGAACGACCGCGTCAACAGACAGCTCCTCGGCGTCACGCTCGAGGCCTTCGCCATGTGGGTTTACTGTGGACCTTGGCTGGCCCTTGCACGGCCTTGGTTGCGCCTTGTGCAGGCCTTGGTTGTGTCTTGTACAGGCCTTGGTTGTGTCTTGTGCAGGCCTTGGTTGTGTCTTGTGCAGGCCTTGGTTGTGTCTTGTGCAGGCCTTGCGCTATTTCACCGCAATTAATCATGAGTATTTTTATTTTACAAATATCAATGAATGTTTACTGTTATAATATATTAGAGCTTTTTCACTTTAGCAAATTTCACTTATCAATTGAAAAGTAAAATTTAGCAATTTTCACTTTTCTACCTAGTTGCATACGAATCTTTATATCACCAGTTCATTAATATTTAAATGTTTATCACCAGTGACTTTATCATTCCTATGTCATCCGTGCCTCACCAAAACGACCCACTACAGGTTCGGCCACCTCATTAACGTGGATTACTTCACGGACCTCGTCAATAACCTGGAACGCATCCTGAAGACGCAGGACCTGGGGGTGGCCGAACGCGTCCACTGCATCCACAGCGTCTTCAAACTCCACACCGGCCTGGGCTCTGCTCTCCACAGCGATCCTTTCAACTTCTGTGATAAACTCTACGAGCTGCTAATGCTGCTGCCTTCCCCTGGTGGGTTTTGGTGGGGTATGGTTAACTGCTGTTCATGTTGCTGCCACCAGACTCTTGGTGAGGGGTGGTTAACTGCTGCTGCCCTCCTCTGGTAAAGTCGGGTGGGTGCGGTGTGGTTGACTGCTGCTTATGCTGCTGCCCTCCTCTGGTGAGGTCCAGTAGGGTGTGGTTAGCTGCTGGTTCGGCTCATGGGGTGTGTGTTGTGATGTCCACTTATATGTCTCCATTGTGACTTCGCATCCTAAACCCTGATGCTACGGGAGGCCGCCATAAAAATTCCCGGTATTGATTCTTCGTTTCATGGCTTCATCAATTTTTTGATGATCTTGCTAGTCATATGTAGTATAATGATTAGTATTTGTATACTAGAATTAGTATAATGTTTAGTATATTAGTAGTGCATTTTACGTCAGCACTTGTCTCGTTGAGGGGCGTATAATACTGCTCATTCATCTCCGTATTCACCTTCATGTGTCCCCCCAGAGGTGGGAGACGAGGCGCTGGTGCCGACGCTGCGGACGCTGGCGCTGATCTTCGTGGGGTGCAAGCGGCGCGTGACGGGCAAGACCGCCATGGGCTTCGTGAAGCGCCTGGCCACCTTAGCCCTCACCCTGCCCCACAGCGGCAACATCCCCCTACTGATGACCCTGCGCAGCATCATGCTGGTGGGTGTGCGGGCATGCTGGAGGGTGAACGGCATGCTGTGGGGGGCGTATGCGGATGAACACTGATGAATATCTCAGCCATTTTAGTGTATGTTTGTATTCTTGAAGCTATCACACATTTATCCTTCATTTGTTTGTATTACAATAGCCCGTGCTGAGCAGAATCACCGAGCGACGGAGTGCCTGTTGGACACGCAGCAGGAGGGCGGCTGGGGTGTGTACTGCCCCCTGTTGGACCACCCCATCCACTGCAACGCTGCTATGGCCACCCTCTGGGACATGCACCTGCTTGCTGTTAGTAGTGATTACGATATGTAACTATTGTAAAGGAACAATTTCGCTTCAACTTCACGCGGTTGTGGCATTGCACATTCGCTGAATAACATTCTTTCTCTAATATGCGTACAAATTTCAAGTTAAGTATATAACTGATAGCATAAAAAAAGTTAGGACGTGAATTAGTTGTGTGACGTATGTTGGTGTAGCTGTGACGTATTGGTTGTAACTGGGCTGTGTTTGCAGCGGAGTTACCACCCAATGACGCGGCAGATCTCAACCCACCTTTACCGCGGTGCCCCTCTGCTGGGTAATGGCTCCCTGCCCTCTTCCTTTACTAAACTGTAAGTCCCTGAACCCTATTCATCCGTAGTGATTCAAAGATTTTTTTAGATTTTAGACCATTACAATTTTTTCCCCAATTTTCCCCACTTTACCTATTTTAGCATGTTGCAATAAAGCTGCTCCCCGTTTCATCAATGCTGTCATCGTTTTTCCATGTATAGATTATTCAAGGCCAACATGTCACATCTCTATTGATCCCGGAAAATGTTCAAATTGCCTACAGGATGTACTTTGCCCGACCTAACTGGCCTAATAATAGAAGGGTACGCAGTGTAATGCGCATGTTCTGTGTGATGGACTTGATTGTTCACATTAATAATGAAATGTTTATTTCTAGACGAAATTCTGAAACAATGTATGTAAGCAAGGACCGTTTGTCTACCGATTGTTCTCCAGGATAATATATAAGGTTGTGATATTACGCTTTGTTGAGGGAAGCGATTGTAAATGATACTATTATGGTACCTCTTCCGTCAGGACCATGGAGGAGGTTGCCAACTTGTATGACTGTCGCGAGATGCAGCTACAGCCGCAGATGATGAACCCAGACCAGCATTGCGGAGCCTTCGGCAGCAAGTGGAACAAAGAGAAGAAGAAGCAGATCCTTTCCCACAGGCAAGTCGTTACTCTTTTCGGTGCTCCTTGACCAACTTGTATGCATCTTGACTCGGAGTTTGACATTGATTTTTTTGTCTGAATTAAAATGTGAAATACCAATAGGGCATAAGCATGTAGGACACGACATTTTCGGTTTGCTTCTCGATTACTTTATTGAAAACATTTTTAAAGCAACAGATCACATGCTATTTGATCCTGGAACCGCTTTTACTATTCTGCTGCAAATATACATCTGTGTTAGTCATGCAAATCAAGATGTGTGCTGACGAGGTGGAGCCAGGCAGGGAGCTAAAACGCTCCAATCTTTAAAAATCATGATCTATGTCCAGTAGCAATGCCACTCAAAATTTCGTTCTTGATTCGTTTTCATACTTCATACGTGACCTACATTCGATAAACTTACTATCTCCGTTCTCACGATGCAGAGTCAGAGATCATAATAGATTTTTCATGTTCTCGATATTCTGCGTGCCTGCAGACTGACAGGAGCGCTCCTGCAAACGTGCGCGTCCGAGCAGCGCGCCCTGGACGCCATCATCAAAGGCGCCCCTGGAGACGGTGTCCATGAGAAGAACGATGAAGGACAAGACGAAGAGGCTGACGATGGAGAGTCGATGGTTGCCGACAACGACGTGGAAATGCTGGACGATGCGGTGGAAGAGTTAGACTTTTATCCCCTCAAGACAGGGGCGCTGTACGACGTACACCAGCCTGACGCGTCCCAAGGCGAGAACGAAGAGACTCAGGACTACTCGCGGTTATTTACTTATGAGAACCTCGAAGAGTTCGAGCAGGAAATGCAAGAAGCGTTACAATAAATGCTTACGTGACATTCTAGTTTTGTTTCCTAGGGCCTGGACTGCTGCAGATGGCGATATCCATTCTAAGTTTGCTTGCCTGAAGGAATAGCAGTGATGAATGTTCAGATGGGTCATCAGGAAGGAGCGATAAATGCTATTATCAGAATGCAAAGTAACAATATTTTTGATCAGCGTATTTCTCTGTAACTACTAGTCCATTCTCTTTAAAAGATGTGGAACAGAAACTCGTATATTTTAGTTAAAAATATCAGATTTATTACAACCTCAATTTTTGTTACAAGGTTAAAATTTGCTAAGTTACGTTGGACAGCGTAAATGTATTCCATGATTGTGCTAGAACTTTTTGTTCAAGGGCATTTGATCACGGACTGTTTGAATAGCACAAACATTCTCTACAGCAGTGATTCTAGAACGTTTTACCGGGTCAAAAGTTGTCATAATTTCTTTATATGCGGCAAATTATAGAACTCATCTATACATTACCACAGAAAAAATTACCAGCAAGAAAATTCACCCCGGTTTCGGGAACCACTCCTCTTTCTTCAAAGGATGTGCGCTAAAATCGCGGATTTGGTGAGGTTGATCGTTAGACATAACGTTGGTGCATATCTTCCATTTTGGTGGAGTTTATTGCGCAACTTAGGGCCTGCTGTCAGTTCACACTTACATTTTAGAGATTTACAAAAATACAAAAACCTCGCCCAACAAAATATCTAAAAATTGTCATAATAGATTTATCCGTCAAATTAGATTACTTGTGAGCGTAGTGTAGGCAGACGTCTCGCTGCAGCTAACATCAGAAGGTAGTGGATGCTAACCAGCGTTCCAATACAATATTCTTCGCTTTGTAGTTAGTCGAGATAACGACATCACTAACGTACCATAATTCGGTGGCCCTTACAAAAATCACACGTCATTGGCACCAACAATATAGTGAATCCATTCATTGAAAAAAATTGGGAGGCACCAAGAGAAAGAAGTATACCAGATGAGTTGCACTTCTCTGTAAACTGATATAACAGATAACAGGTCAGCACCTCACAGGTACCATAACCACAGTTAGTTGATGAGTCTCTCTTGAGGACTGTGGAGTCACACAGCTCCAAGTCAGCATGAGATACACAAGTTTCCTCAGATAAACATTCTGTAATTTGTACGAAAAGTCAATCTTATAACAAGACTTAAATAATAATGCAGCATAGCAAATAAAGGAAATAAATCCTACTTAATTCTTTGTACATTCTTGTAATGTAGATCACAATAAAGCACGATACCCCTCAGGCGGGGGTTGGAAGGTCCTGGTGTGTGAATAATTCGTCATCAAGCTCTTGAGTGAGGCGAGGTCAGCCTCCCCACCCTCCCTTGTGGTCTGTTCAGCAAGAGGCAGCAGGCGTTCGATGAAGTGATCCATCATCTTGTGCATCTGCCGGCCGTACACTTTAACCATGAGAGCTCCCGCGACGCTCAGGAACCCGTGAAGTACGGCGCAAGTTACGGCTGACTGCACGGGGCAGAGTAACATTCGGGACAGCCACCGCCATCCCAACTGGGGACCTAAAGACCAAAGGTTTTGTTCCGTGGACGTGTTTTGTCCAGTGGGCGGCTTATCGCCATCAAGACATACGAGTCGTCCAAAAAGTTGACTGGCGGCGCCCATGCGTTTGAGGTAACTGTCTAAAGCCTCTCTCTCCCCGCCATCTTTGTGACGGTACCCCAAGGCTCTGTGGTACTCCTCCACGGTCTCGTATTCCTCCCTCTGAGGCACCTGCGGCACGAGATACGGGCACGTGCGGTACAACTGATACACGCACAAGTCCAGCAATAAAGGATCAAAACTTCCCAGGCGCACAATTAGCGACGCATAAACGGCCTGGCTGCTGACTTGCTTGTCGTGCGCGAGGGCAATGAGTTTGCTGCTCAGTTGTTCCTTGACGAACATGGCGACCGGGGAGTGCGGGTCCGCGACTTGTACATGTTGCGCGCCCGCTGCGCAGCGCTGTCCTGTTAACAAGCTCACCAGAGTGTGGAGCTTCTCTCTATTGGAGGCGTCGCTGTCGTTGTGGAATTTGTTCACAACTGACAAGGCATAGGATAACTTCCCTCTCAGTTCCGTGTCCTCCGTCGCCAGAAACTCGCCGCTAAGTCGCATTACCGAAGAATGCGTCGCCGTCAGCTCCTCCAGTCTGCGTTTAGCGCAGGAAAGTTCGGCGGTTGCCTGCGGGACGTCGCCGGCAAGACTTACAAGCGTCGCCGCGGCCTCGCTTTCTTGTTCATCACGCCGCGATGAATTTCTGTGCGTCTCTGTAAACATCCAGAACATTCGAAATCTTAAATTGTGACCTCCGAAAATCTCTCCATATTGAACATCTTCAAATTCTGACACGGAACTCGTATGTTGTTAGTATTAAAATGATCGTTATAAGTAATTTTAAGAGTCGCTTGAAGAATGGCGATGTATGTTTATGGTGGCTACTAGGGTGAGTATCCACAATACTTATCGTATCCGGATTGTACCGGCATCTGAAAATATGCTTTTAGTTTTTTTAGTATGATTGAAAACTTCTTCAATTTTCAGCCAATCAAAATAAATTAATAGAAATAAATAAATACAAAATTTAAATAGAAGACCTTCTTCTTTAGTTAAGAAGACTTCGTTAGAGAATTTTAGCTTACTAGTACGTTAGTCCGACGTTGCCCGTCTATAATAATATACCTCGTGTGAAATAAAATATAGAATGAAAAACAGAGCCATTCAATTCACACTTAACACGGAACATGGAAACTCCCATTTGACTCTCATTTCAAAATACGAAAAGTTATAATTCAGTACTCACTGCAGTGAGTGACAGAGAGCGCATTTTCTCGTCGATGAAAACGTGGTCACAGACGGACGGACGGACGGACAGACAGACGGACGGACATGACGAGCACAATAGCGCCTTTTTCCCATATTTGAGAAAATGCGCTAAAAACACTTTTCCATCTCTTGACTTAGATCTATAAAATACTAATTTAAAAATCTTGAATACATTTTTGATTCGTTCTTTCCCTCTCAGCATTGCAATGCCTCGCTATTCTCGCTTTCAGAATAAATTTTCAGGTCCAGGTAATATCCCGACACGATAAGTATCCTGGACACAAATTTCATGGATTAAATGACCAATGCTACCATCCCGCTATGGTATGATCATTCCCTAATAACTTCTACCACCAACTTGCCACTGTCACACGCACCAAAAGCAACACGTAAGGAGCAAGGTTATTAGTTTGAACAGAGATAGCAAGGTTATCAGTTTGATCAGAGGTACTCACGGATGACCTCCCGTATGTGGGAGAGGACCGCCAGGCCGTCGGTGAGGCGGGCGGTGCTCTGCTGTAGCGCCTCGGCGTCCGCGTCGCCGCTCAGCGCCTCGCTGCCCAACTGCAGCGTCGCGTTCAGCGCCTCCGTCGTGTCCTCGGGCAGCGCCACATCGCCACACTCCCTGTGGGGGTTTACTTCTAAAGTATTTACAATAATTATAAAGAATTAATAGTAATCCGACGCCTGCGTCCTCAAGCTCCCCGAAAGCTCTTATGTAAACTGACACAAATTATATACGTACAATAGCGTGTTGAGATGACTTGAGTAGAGGTTGATCAACACTCAAATGCAGGCAGAAAAAAAAATAATTCGCATTCTCCAAATAGCGACGCACTCCTTCTAACGCACAGTACGAGCTGAGAGCAGACGTATCACTGATACTCCTTTTTGCTGGGACAAACTGCGTCACGATGACCCATATAAGGGCAAAAATTGCTTCAACAGCACGTGCAGAACACGGAACGCCGTGCCACGAACTGCATGCAACAACACGCAACACTGTGCCACAAACTGCATGCAACAACACGCAACACTGTGCCACAAACTGCATGCAACAACACGCAACACTGTGCCACAAACTGCATGCAACAACACGCAACACGACGTGCAACAACACGTGTACAGCACACAGAGGCGTGTACAACACATGTACAGCACATGTACAACACATGTACAACACATGTACAACACATGTACAACACATGTACAGCACATGTACAACACATGTACAACACGTGTACAACACATGCACAACACACATACAACACACATACAACACATGTACTCACGTTATCTCAGCAAGCACGGTGTCCAAGGCATCACTGAACTGTGCGTAGGACTCGCGAAGCTCTGCCACCATCGTCGCCCGCTCCTGGGGGCAGCAAGTCTTATGTAAATAATCTTAGCTTAGTCAGGGATTGCATAATAAATTAAAGTACTGGCATGTTAATATTTATTTTTACATGCAATACAAGAACCATAACTTTCCACCAATAGCTCCATTCACTGTCACTTGTTACAAGAAATAAAGACCTACTTATTATCTATTAATTCATTCTTTCTTCACCTCTTCACTCAAAAATAATTGTCAGTATTCCAAATTAGCTACACTTATTTCTATTAAATTTGTTGATGTTGCTTTATTGATGACTGCTTGGCTTGCGCTCATGTCATCTCACTATAACATGAAACATTCATGTAGAGAACGAGCAGGAAGCAGGGAAAACAAAGAGTAAGCTTGCTTCTACTGTAACTTGTGCAGCACACAACAAATCTCCAGTGCTTCCTTAAAGTTCACTAGAATACTGGTTATCATTGCTGAACTCAACTATACGTATTGAAGATGTTAACTCCAAACAAAGAAAGTAAAAGGTAGTTAATATTAATAATATGTACTGTTCAACTCTTTTACGCTTCATTACTTCTCTCCAACATTAATGACAACATTAGCCACATTTACAGTCTCAATAATAATAATGGATGGGTAAAAACAATAATAGTAATAAAGGTGATTATTCACAAGTTAGCATATTGCCTTCATCAGAATCACTCATGAGGGTTTGAATAAGAAACAACAAAAATAAGAAACAACAAAAGTTACTACTAATATTCTTTAAATAAATGTCATAAGATGTTGTCAATAATATTCAAATCAAATATATACTGAGGTTCGTTAACACAAAATAAAATCTAAGTCTCCACAGAGAACATTTTACAGCTAAACTCTTGCCTGTTCCTGCTGCTGCTGTTCCAGCAACTGTTGTTGTTCTTGCTGTTGTTGTTGTTGCTCTTGCAGCCGTTGCAGCAGCTCTTCTTTGCGCAGATCAGCGGCTGCTGCTTGCTGGCTGCTGCTCATCACAATTTCTTCATCAGTAAATTCTCATAAATAAAAGTATAACAAATAAGTTGTATTATGTACGACAAAAGAGGTACCTAGTATTACGTATGACAAGAATACAGAGCAAACGAGATGCTGTCTTGAATAATATACCAGAGAAAACCATCATTGAGATTCTATTTAGATCAACGATTACTGGGATTTGAAACATAAATTGGAAGTTAAACTTGAAACAGAAGATATGCAAACAAATTAATAAAAGTACCATTGGTAATAAGGCATCCATTGGTATTACATTTCCTGCAACACTTGCTCAAGCTGGTTTTTTGGAGACAGTGTTTTTACTAACTATGCAATTAAATACAACTGACAAAATGTTTGATTTAAAATAGAATGGAGTCAATAAAACTCATAAATTACTCACAGAATTTTCTCAGCATATTTCTTGAGGACTCCTTCAACCTCCTCATGCTTTGGTAGGCCCTCCTTCTCCTGCAGCGTCTCCTGCTGGAGCTGCAGGTCTCTGCAGCGCTGCAGCTCAGCCATTGTCTGCGTGTGGATGGCAGCCACGCGACTCACATACGCTGCATGGTAAACCTGGATGCGCGTCTGCAACCATCAACAAATTTCAAGTTTCATTACAATATCATCAGATAGGATAATATATTTGTTAAAAACTCCTACATATTACCTTGGCATATATGAATGAAGAACAAGATGCAGCTCACATACACAGCCTGGCTAATGTGAATGGAAGTCTGTCACCATGGACAAATATTATATCTTATCAATAACTCATGAATATTGACTAATAATTTTATTAATAAATAATATGAAAGTAATATTCTATATTAATATATAGGTCTTGCTCCAAATCCATGAATAATACATTGTCAAGTAATAGAACAACATAGCCAATTAAATGTTATTCAAAATAGGCATGCAGGCAGCAGAACCACTCTACATACTTACTAATAAGATAATGTACCTATTGTAACTAGAAATCTGGATACTTTTCTGGTAACATACAGGTTTATAGTAATGGGATCAGGGGATGCATTAGATGATCTGCAATTCATTACATCATCTTGAATACAACACCAGCAAAAATTTTTGACATAAAAAGTAAACTTTTGCAAAAGGATCATTCTTCTAATGTGACAAGCCATATACAGTACATGCCTATCATTGTTTAACACTGGGTAAATATAAATCAGTCTAGTCCAATTGACATTAAAAGGGTATAGGATTTGTAGTTGCATTTGTTGTGTAGGGGTTTAAATACTATGACAGGAGGCTAAGGTAAAGTATAAAAGCATAACAATATATTTAGAAAAAGAAAATTGGTTGCATCTGTTTCTGCATATACTTGTCTATACCAATTACTTTGTACCTCATATATAATGTGCAAATATATTTGTATATATTATATACTATATACTTGTATATACCCATTACTTAGATCCAGATGAATGTTGACTCACAAGCACAGCAGAGAGGGACATGTCAATCTGCATGCGGGCAACAAGCGACTCTAGTTTGTTGGTGAAGACTTCAGCCTCGTGTCCATCATGCTTGGCCGCAATAGTTTCTTCTTCTTCTTCATTGTCTTCCACTTCTGAATCAGATTCTTCTAGTTCATCTCTCCACATGCTGATAGTATATGCAATATTGATTTTAATGAAACAAATAGGAATAATTACTGTTTTTATCAAGAATGGGAAAAAACTACATATAATTACTGTTAACATCAGGCATGAAAAATCAGAGATGTGCATTATGTGAAATATCACCAATTTACTTGATTTGAATGAGAAATAGAAGGTTGATGTAGGATTTGACAAGCTTTCTGTAAATAGCAAGTGCAATGCAACCTGCTACTTGTAGACTTTAACTTAAGGCATATATATAGATGTATATGTTTCATTTACTTATAGTGACTTGCTCAGCAAGATTTTGAGTCAATTCTGAGAGACTGCATCCATGAAGTCATTGGAGCAGTCAATTGATAAAGACAATTTATTATTTAACTTCATAAAAATAATAAAAATAAAAGAAGTCAAGTGGCAATATGGCTGTGGACTTGCAATACATAGACCACAGTGAAATGAAGATTATCAAAATTCCAATATAATTTAGAGTTTGGACTCAATGCTAGGTCACAAATTAATATAAAATCATCTTTCATTCTAGCAATATACCTACATCTAAAATGATGAAAATAACAAGAACATGGAATGTGCATAATTTAATTTCAATTGATCAGATGTAAATGACAGTACCTGTGAGGTGGAGATGCTAGGGCAGTCCTGTAGGAGTTCCATGCCTCAGTAGGAGGACCTGGTTCTTGTACAAAGGGCTCATCTAGGCACAGGGATCTATCATGAGCTTCTTCAGTAGCAAAGATGCTTTGTGAGGATTCTTTAGTGTAATCATCCACAAATGATACTTCATTCTTGAAGTAGTCACTGTCAGTGATGTGGTCAATGTCCCCAATCAACTTACTCTCACACACATCACCATCACTGATGTTCTGTAAACAAATTTTAATGCAAATAAAAAAATGTGAACATTACAACTAAATTAATTACAAGCATTTCAAGCTTTGAGCGTGTTAAATATTGAGAAAATTGTCATTGGAAGTAATATGTTATCAATAACAATTTAGTACAAGCATGTAAATTTGGAAAGATTAAGCAATCTTATATTTAAATATATCATTAACATCAGCTGGTTGCTGAGTAGAAAATTATTGACTCTCTGAGCCCTGAATTCATAAATGTTATGAATGCAACTGTGACAACTAAAACATTAATTTTTCATTTTTGCATAAACAAGAAGGCCCTGCCAAAAGAGTAGATACTCAGCCAAAAAATATAGTTTTGAAGCTGTAAAATTTTATTTAAATTTACCAGTTTACTGATTCTGCTTTCCAAGCTTCAACTAGGTTTATAAAGCCTCTAAATTGTTCCTTTTGTGGTGATGTCATAAAAACCTTTTTCTAGCTGTTATATTTTTCTCTAGTAAAATGTTGGACTTGTCCAATCTTTATGGTTCAAACAAAGATACATTCCCCAAAAGGGAAAGTATCTTTGCAACCTGAGAATAATCAAGAATGAAGGTTGCAACAAGCATGGAAAACATCTACCTTTCAGGCCACGACTAGAGCTTTTCCCACGCCCGCCATTTCCGGAACCGCGAGATTTCAGCCAGATGAATTACCTCCTATCTAATTGTTAACAAAAGTGCATGATCAGGCCACAAGATTCCAAATGTATTGAAAATTTGTAACATTGGACTGATTGGAGCTGCGAGATTTCAGAAACAAGTAGGAAAATTCCAATTCTGGGTTGCAATACTACTGGAGGCCTGCCTCTTGGTTGGTTGCACCTGCTAGTTGAGGCAGAGCATTCACGCTCAATGGCTCAAGCCTTGCCCTCACAGGTGTTTATTTTCATTAAAGTGGATAGTCACTGGATACTGACCAATTTTCAGTATCCAGAGTATCAGGGAATTTATTTACAGGGAATTTACCCACATATAATGACTTTTTTTAAGCCATTGTTGGGCACAGTTGGCGCAATTCCTGGCCATCCCCGCTTGCATGCGCAAGAGTCTGCGTGGCGCACAACGTTTACCGATTTTCTTTGATATGGAAATTTTGTAAAAGTAAAAATCTTGAAATTTATTTTAGAAGAAATTTTCTACAAGTTCCTAATGGCAACCTCCTTTGTTTACCTTCTGTAGACAATATCTAGGTAAGAAAATATTGCATCCGGATGTGAGGCAAGTGGTGAAGAACAAAATCCTCAGAAATTAGGCAAATGAAGTATAATCAACTATTAGTGTTAGAGGACAGATTTTGCTTGTTCTATATATACTACGTAATAGTGCGCCGATTGGGTTATTAGAAGTTCTATGGTTAATGAAAGGGATCCAAAATAATTTCATCATTCTAATTAATGAAAAATAGGTTTGAGTGCAAAATCTTTTGTAAATAAAATATGTTTAGACATAGCTGTCATCAGAAATTCCCAACATAATGGTATGGCAACATCATTTTTACAGACTTTCACCTAACACTGGTACATTGTCGTGTCATCACTGTCAATTGTCATGTGATGTCCCCTTGAAACCATCCATATTTTATTAAGGTTTGTTGTTTGTCTATATAATTAACATCAAAGTTGCAAAAATTGAGAACTGATAATTAAAAAAAATTTTGGTGCCTGTATTTTTTTATTCAATGGGTTTGTGCCACTCAAACCCATTTTACAGGCCAGGCAGATGTCCCAACATTGACATACGGGTTTGTACTATTTGGCAAGTATTTGCTAAAACCAGCCTTCCATTAGAAGGCACCAATCTCAAACCATATCAATTGTTGCCTTCTATTCTTCAGTTTTGTAATTCATCTCCAACCAAATTGAGATCTATTAAAAATATCCATAACTGTGGCAAGCCAGTGACTCTTAAAATGGAAAACCTGGGTTACTACAATACCTAAAATGGGGTAACTTAGACCACTTTTTTTTTTATAAATGATGCCATTTTTCTACTAGCTAAATTAAACTTGAATTGAAACATGCAAAATACAGGTCTATACTCTAGCTTCACTCACCATAAATTGCTGGCTCCTGCCTCTAATAGTCTTTATGTAATTTCAAAAAAAGTGATTGTCTTTGTTACCCCAGCTCCTGGGGTAACTTAGACCGGGTGGTAAAATCAATTATATTTTTTGGTAAAATAACTCCAGGTTTTGGTGCATTGTAGTAGAACACTTCTAGTTACATGTGCAAATGACAAACTTGAGGAAAGTGTCATAGTTTGCAAATGGGATGCGCTGCCCCATAATGAGGGAAATGTGACTACCTAATGGCAGCCCTGATGGGGTAATATTGACTGGTTTGGAAATTAAGTTGAAATTACCATATATAAGACTCTGTAGAGTCTGAAACATAAAGAAAAAAAAACATAAATAGGCTGTCAAACATAAAATATGTTATATATGTTATTTTTTATTAACTTCCAAGCCGGTCTATGTTACCCCATCAGGGCTGACATTAGGTGGTCTAAGTTACACCTAACCTAACCTAACCTAACCACCCCATTTGGGGGCGGCGCCCCCCATTTGTAAACTATGACACTTTCATAAAATTTGTCATTTGCATATGTAACTAGAAGAGTTCTACTACAATGCATCGAAACCTGGAGTTATTTAACCAAAAAATAAAAAAATTGGAGAGGGTACTCTGACAGGCTTCAAATAATAGCTTTTTTTTGTGGGTCACATTTTAAATTTTTTAATCTATTAGATATGCAAACTTTTCAAATCTTTCTATTGCATTATGTAGCCTCAGTATTAGGCCTTTAATGCCCATTGACAAAATTTTTCTATGTCAAATAGTTTTTGAGTTGTGGGGGTTTTTGTTAAAAAAACGAAAAGTGGTCTAAGTTACCCCACCGGTCTAAGTTACCCCATTTTACGGTATTTTCTCGTCGACAAAAACATGAAGACACGGACTGACAGACAGACGGATGGACAGACAGACGGACGGACAGACAGACGGACGGACAGACGGACGGTGACAATTTAGACTGACCTGATGGACAGGCCATCACTCCGGTGTAGACTGACCTGATGGACAGGCCATCACTTCGATGTAGACTGACCTGATGGACAGGCCACTGCTGCTGCTGCTTACTGCTGCTGCTACTTGCTGCTTGCTGCTGCTGCTCCAGTCTGTAGAGTATGGCCTTTTAGCTCGAGATATTGGCGTCTTTTGAAAATTTTTATCAGCCACCTCGACCTTACATTGGCGTCTTTTGAGGATCTTCATCAGCCATCTCGACCTTACATCGGCGTCCCGTCGCGGTCGCCGCGATCTAAAAGGTGCGGCGTGAGCACCGGAGGCCCATTTTGGGATGTACTCCAGCATGCCAGGAAAAAAAGTTGCCAGAATGTTCGCTAGAAAAACCAAAGTGCATATCTGACCGTTGTCTGATGATCGATACTGAGGCACGTGCTTTACGACTGATTCGGCCAATGCCCGACAATGATGCACGCACTTGCGCGATCGACGCAGCTGTTGCTCAATGATTGACATAGATGCCCAAACTTTACGATCAATGATCGACACGGATGCACACATTTTACAAGTGATATGGCTGACGCTCACACTTTACAAACGATGCGGTATGATTGACATGGATTCATGCATTTTATGATCAATGTGGCCGATGCCAACTGATCGATTCCAACAGTTTTGAAATACTTGGGTGTTTCAAAACCTCTCAAGCTTGACGCGCTTATATGTGTGCGGCAAGCGTTGCATGGTCAGCGCGCCTAATGCTGTCGTAGGAGGTGGTTGTGTGGAGCCGCCGCTCATGAATGCCATGAATCTATACTGCTTACGGTTAATTGGCCCAACTCAATTCGGTTAATTGTTTCAACTCACTGCTGTTCTTTTGTCAATAGTAATGTTAACGAGCAACGTCTATACTATTCAATCGCACAAGAAGTTGATCATAAAATCGAAGATTTATTCTGGTAGTACCGCGCGCAAGATAAAACAAACACGGCAGCTCTATGTAGTTGCCGTCTCCGTAGCTGAGTGGACTACGGCGCCTGCTGGCGAGCGTTTGGTTGCAGTCTTGGCAGAGACTGCAACCAAATCTCGAATCTTCGAATCTCGGCGGGCAACTCATAGTTTCTTCAACCAGAGTTCAATAGAGGTAAGAACAAAGAGTGTACTTTCATGATGATTGTACATACTGATATAAATTGTGTAATAAATATGTCTATAAAAGAATGAATATGTGACTAATTTTGCTGTGAAGGAGAAAAGCGTTGAAATCAGATAGAGACGGAGAAATATATTTTCATAATTTTGGTATGGAGGCGGTCATGGATTAAACTGGGATCGACCAGAGGAGTAGAATATGTTAAAATCATTTCATCAGGCGCTGGAAGCTGTACAAGGATATTGCATAAATTCTGAAAAGAAGGTTTCATTCTCCGTAGACTTCTTTTGGTGTTCTAACGTTGAAACACCTAGGTGTTTCAAAATCGCAAATTTTGAAACACCTGAACGTTTTTGAAACACGCGGGTGTTTTGCTTTGGGCCCGATTGCTCGGTAAGGATTTGAAACACTCAAGTGTTTCAAAACAGGGGGCCTTTTTCTCTCAGTGAACGCTCATGCTTCGCAAACGATGTGGCATGATAGACACAAATGCACGCATATTACGATTGATATGGCTGACGCTCTCGCTTTGCAAACGATGCGGCATGATTGACATGAATGCACGCATTTTACGATCGATGTGGCCGACGCACTTGCTTCGCGAACGATGCAGCACGATTGACATGGATGCACGCATTTTACGATCTATATGGCCGATGCCCATGATCAATTCCAACATTCATGATTCGCAAACGATGCGGCATGATTGACATGAATGCATGCATTTTACGATCGATGTGGCAGACGCTCTTGCTTCGTGAACGATGCGGCATGATCAACACGGATGCACGCATTTTACGATCCATGTGGCCGATCCT